TTAATTTTTGGGGGAGTTAATCTGGGTTCTGTATCCACCATTCAAACAACCCTTCGTTGTAATTTTTCAGTAATTTTGCTCTTCCGTCCACATGCAGGGAGGTTAGCTACAGTGCCATGGGCTGTAAACCTCTTGCTGATATTGCGCACAGTGGACACAGGACCATTAGGATCTCTGGAGATGGACTTGTAGCCTTGAGATTGTCAATGTTTTTCCATAGTTTTTTCTCTCAAATCCACAGACAACTCTTTACACTTCATTCTTTTCTCGACGCTCAGTGTCACACAAAGGTTGAGTCAACTTTTCTCCATTGTAACTGGTTGCAAGTGTGATTACTATATTGCCCACACTTCTTACTTGCAACGAGTTTGCTATATTGCCCACACTTCTTACTTGCAACAAGTTTGTCTAAATACAGTGGTGCCTCGCATTGCAATGTTAATTCGTTCCGCAAAAATCGCTGCAGAACGAAAACGTCGCAATGCGGGGGGGAAAAGCCCATAGAAACGCATTGAAACCCCTTCAATGCGTTCCTATGGGCTGGAAACTCACCGTTCAGTGAAGATCCTCCATAGCGCGGCCTTTTTCGGTGGCTGTAGAACGAGGAATCTGTCCCAGAAAACAGCGGGCGGCCATTTTGTTTACCCGGCGGCCATTTTGAAACTGCCGATCAGCTGTTTTAAAGTTGTCACTTTGCGATGCTCGGTTCCAGAAGCAGGGAACCAATCATCGCAAAGCGAAATTTCCCCCATAGGGAACATTGCAAAGTGATCGCTTTTGCGATCGCAAAAAATGCATCGCAAAGCGATTTCAGCACTAAATGGAGCGGTCGCTATGCGAAGCACCACTGTACAAATTAAAGGAGCATCACATGCTTGAAAAGCAATGATTTCTTACAATTTAGATAGGGTGCCTATAATTTTGGCCAGTGCATTTTTGGGTATCTGTTTGGGATTGTAACAAATCTGACTTTTCTTCTCTGTGTTTTTGCAAACACAAGAAAACGCAAACCAAAGAAATGAATATGTGAGTATGAAAACATCTGCAACTGCAACAATTTTCTGAGAGAAGGGTTGCATTTTCTGACAGAACTGCAAGGGTGCCAATATTTTTGGCCATGACTGTATATCTGCTCTCCGTGCGTATGCCAAACCGTCATACCTATATATGAAATGCCATTTGTATTAGGGCTGACACTCATAAAGGCCAATGAATGTAGGCCTGAAATCTGCAATATTTTTTTTAAAAAACTGAAATATACACTTTGCACAGTGCTATGAACGTGGATCCTAGAGAAACATAACATCCAGAGAACAGATGCTGGGTAGGCCACAGTTGATTAATGCCATTCAACTCCCCTGAATAGATGCAGCCTGCAAAGATTTGCTTATAGTCAAGACAACTTAACCAGAAATATGTGCTCCTATATTGTTTTAATTAAAAAAAGTTACTAATCCTACAAACACCACTAGTGAGGTCATGACTAGGGATGGGACTTCTGTATTTACTCAAAAGGAAGAGGGGAAATAAGAGGTTCCCTTTTTTGCTTTTATTCTTTTATTGATCTGTATGAGAGAAGTCCTAAACATGATCGATTCATAATAATGAAAGTGGGATACATAAAAGTTTCATTTTTTTCCTATTTCCTCCTTCTCATGCAACGTATTTTTCTCCGTTTGTCTGGCAAATCACTTGATAATTTTTCCACCCAATAGCATCATGTCCAGGAGGAGTGGACATTCTCCTGGATATGATGCTATTGGATGTCCAGGAGGAGTGGAAATTCTCAATCTACGATTTGGCATACCAAAGGTGGGCAGGGGGGCCTCATGGCATAGCAGTTAAACTGCAGTACTGCAGAGACTACTCACAACCTGAGTTCGATCCCAGGTTCAGGGAGCCAGTTTGAGGTTGACACAACCTTCTATTCTTCCAAGCTCACTGAGCAAGGGGCAATGTGTAGCCTGAATAATTAAACTGCAAGCCACTCAGAGAAAACTTTAAGCATTATGTGGCAGTATATAAGCAGCACACTTTATTTTACTTTAGAAGGGCGTGGAACCCAAGGAAAACTTGCTCTTTGCTTAGTTGTTCCCTGTGGAATTATTGTGCTGCTGAGCTCCTGGCCCCCTCCACCTTGGATTGCATCTACCTTTATTGTGAATCCTTTCCCCCCCCTTTTTTTTTGTCTTGAGTTTTGGGGGGAATTTCCCCCTCAATTGGATTTTTTAAAGATATTTTTTATTCCCCCTTTCCCCCCACCCCTGATTTCTTTGGGGATTTTTCCTCTCTTTTGGTCCTTTCCTTCTTCGATTACTGTAGCTTCCTGCCTGATCTGCCTGCTGGACAAGAGGAGAAGGAATGAAGTGCTTATGGTGGTAGTGATGGGGAATCTCCCTATACAGTATTCTAGTAGATTTTATTTGATCTGACTTTGACTAGGGGTTGGGTGAAGGAGGTTGCCTTTGTTTTTGAGAGAGGGAGCTTTTATTTTGCTCTCCATTCCCCTATGTGTGTGAAAGGGGCATCTCCAATGTTTTGTTTGACTGGTATTCAAATGTTGTTATTTAATTAATTTGTTTCAAGGGCCATCAAGTCACTTCCAACATATGGCAACCCTATGAATTTACTGTGCATTTATTCTGCTTTTCCTAGACTGTTTTGTTTGGTGTTGATTGTACTGTTGCCCTATTTTGAAGTAGCTTGATCTTCTGTTGCCTCTGTCTTTTTGGGAGTAGTTTTTATGGCTTCTTTAGAGCTTCTTTTGATTGTGCAAACCTCTAGTCATGACATAGAGCTCAACATTTCTCATAGGAAAAACATTTTTATAATAGAAATCAATGAAATATTAAAATACACACATAAAATATAATGTTGTATAACATTAAGTTACGTACTTAACACTAATCATGGGTCATTTTAGACTTCTTCCCATTTTAACATACACCATCATGATCTAGTTGAAATAGTACATGAATCCACATGACATGAGCTTGGCCTGCTGATTCAGCTAAATTTAAAAAATGAAGGCCAAGACTTATTCCAGCACTAAGAAAAAGCTGTTAGCATTTCAATAAGCATAAAGCTTAATATCCAAGCTTACTAACTACTGTGGCATACTTATTTGAAGATATCACTAGGATCAAAACACATCAAGGAAGTGCTCCTCAAAAACTGAAGTACTGATGGATTAGGAAAGTTTGAAGAGCACATTACACCAGTGGTTCCCCCAACCTGAGGGGGGGGAGGGGTCTGTGGGGGGGCAGGGTACCCTCGTGCTCACGTGCATGCGTAAAGGGGCGTGGGCCGCAAGTGGCCCCCGCGCACACACGTGCACACATGCGCAAAGGAGCTGTGCGGGTGGGCGTGCAGGGGGGAGGGTGTGAAGGAGGGCGGAAGATCTGGGTCCCTGACCCAGTCCAGCCAAAACCACAGACTGGCACCAGGCCGCGGACAGAGGGTTGTGGACACAAAGGAGGTGGCTGCAGCCAGTGGTGGCGCTTCAGTAGGCAGATCGGGAGCAATTGGTGCTGGCAGCAGAGGGGTCTTGAGGCACCTCCGTGCCAGGATTCCCCCTTCTGCCACCACTTCCAGCTCCAGGTCCACACTTCTGGTTTCAGGTTCTCCGGGTCCGCCGCTGCCACAATACTGGTGGCAGCAGACCACCCACTGTTTTTCCCCCCCCCTCATGTTTGGGCACGCGAGCCCAAAAAGGTTCACCACCATTGTTATAGTGTATACTTTTCCAATCATTTTTAATTTTAAAAAATCACCATTAGCAGACAAATGAAATGGCCAGAGTTCTGGCTCTGACTTAAATGTTCAAAATAATCTACTACTAATTCCTCTCTGATTCTACTCCCTATTTTACATGAGATACATGAGATCTGGGAATAGGAAATGTTAACAAGCAGTTTTCATGATTACCAAGGTGCCTCTAGTGCCCTCTTTTTCAGGCATGCCTCTGGGTAACTACTGCAATTCTGCAAAAGCAAATGTCCGCTAGATAATGTCTTCAGAGCTCTCTTTATTACTGCCGCAAGACTAGAATGCTGCAATACCAGAATCACATAGTTACCTAAAATACCTTTTCAATAATAGAGAAACTTGTAGGCTACATCATCAATTCTTATTTACAGCAATTTCTAAGAATAATATAATACTAACACTTCAAGACTCCTCTAACTCAGATATCCATGCCATGTGGAATGCTTTAAGTTATGGGATATCAACAGGGGTTGTGATCCCCAAGGGGGTCACAAAGTGTTTTCAGAGGGGTAACAAGGCTTCTTTTTAGTTGCAATCATTTTTATAGGACATTTCACCATGAAGGTTTTAATCACTTATTTTTGCTCAGATGCAAATATAACCATCACATTAAATATTAGGTTAGGGTTATATTTTGAAAAATCTATTTCTGATGTGTTTTCATTGAAAATACCTTTTTATGTAAATGTGGCGGGGAACACAAGTTACTTGGCTATTATAAAAGTGGGTAATCACTTGGAAAAGGTTGGGAAACACTGCTTTAAGTAAACATGAGAAATTCTACTCCAAAAAAAGGGGAGAGAAGAAACTTTAGCAGTTAAATATGGGTATGAAGCAGCTTCATCTATGACACATTTGGCAGCTTAGCTTGGTGAAGACTGTGTTGTGTGCCAGCAGGCTAGCCTCCATTGAATTTCAGGCCATTCTGCTCCATTTAGTAGTACAGTACATTGCTTATATAAACCACACAAAACAGAGAGAAGATGTTTCACAATGTGGGTCAGAAAAGCTATTTTACAAGATTAATATTCACAAAATTACATGTACATGCAAGATTGGCTACTGACAGGAGAAAGTTTCCTTTAGATATGAAACCAAACCAGAACAAGATAGGAAAAGACAACAAAGAATAAAGATAGCTGTTGCTGTAGTTATAGCAACTGACAATGAAGACTGTGATAACTGTTATGATTCCCAAATCTTAAAAAGTGATTAACCACTACAGTGCTTACCTTATTCCTATGAGTAGAGCTATCAGCATTGAACAAACAGGGTCAGCTATCATTAAACCATAGTTCTGCATCAGTAATGCAGATATGATTACACCAACACTCCCAAGTGTATCAGCAACAATATGTAGAAATACACCTACAAGAAAATACATGGCAGATAAGAACAAGCATTAAAATTATGCCTATTTAACATGAAATTTTAGCAATAGCTTAAATAACAGCTGACACTTAAGATAGCAGCAGAGACCAGTTTATTCTAGTGGACATTGACAACAGTATTTGCAGAACCATTTGGTATGCCAGTTATTTGTCATTTCTTGTGTGCAGCATGGAATCCACAACAGCATATCTCCCTTTTTTAAACTGTAAAGGTAAGCATCAGAAACTTTGGGCCCCAATTAGCTGAATCTGCAAGATTTGTTAAGATATATAGTACTGCTATGCTGTCCTGTTAACAGTGACAAAAAATTACTTTTTTGTAATTAGCTCCCATGATATTAAAAATTATGTTAAAATGCAAAAATATAACAAAATAGAAATCCTGTATACCCAAAATCTCTCCCTACATGGCTAAATAGCAGATTTCCAAACATGGAATCATTGGAGCGTCTAATTTTACAGAACCTCAGGTTTTTGAGAAATAATTTATTTTGCAAATTAATACATTTACCACAGCATTCCCTGAGACACAATAAATACGCTATCTGTAGTACCAAGTAGCAAGATAAAAATCTATTACTAGCTGAATACAAAGAAAACTTTAAACAGATTAAGATCATATCTGTACACTCATATATGTTGCTGCAAATATTTTTCCAGTACCAGATGAAATTCCTTTCCATAATTACTTGTTCTTGCACACTGCACAAATCTGGGCATTTGTCAAGCCAATCCAGTTTAAGAGGGTATTTCGCAGATATCCAAAATCCAAGTTTATGGATTTCTCTACTGATAGTTGAGAGTATAATTGTCAATCGGGCATCAAAAGACAGGAACTAAAAGAATCGTAAAAGCTTCCCTATACTGCCTTTTTTATAATTTAAGTGGAGAAAATTAGAGGTTTCCAACCTTCAATAAAAATCATTTTTCCTACATGAGCAGGCTAGACATCAACAATAACTAAAGGTAGAGTTCTAGTTTCTGGGCAGCATATGTCCAAGCATAAAAAGAGCATTTGGCACCCTCTGCAGGCATATGATGAAAAAGCAGAAAAATCATCTCATAAGGCTATAAATATCCAAGTATTTTAGATATTTCAAAATCAAAGTGGTTTATATTTCTGCTGTTAGAATTAGAATCCAGTACATTTTTTTCTTTACAAAAAGAATATAAATATTAATACTATAAAGAGCTAACTTTTTGATATGTTTAATAAATCATCATTTTTACTCAACTTCTGTGTAGCTGAAATTTTGTATCAAGACAGAAGTTGGCATATCTATTCACCTATTGGAAAAATCTGATCACTAATTACTTCTCTCTTGACCTCCCAAAAATATGCCTGCCTCTCAAGGATGTTGAATAACAACTTTTTTGAAAATTCCTGATTTTTGGATGAACTGCTTACAATCACTAGAAAGAGATTCCACACCAGGAAAAGGGTATGAAAGCAAAACATTTACAAGATTTGAGCAGGACAGGCATTCCAGCTTCCAGTTTATTAAGATTTAGAAATAACTGGTCCATCTCTTGCTTCCTTTGTACATTTTTTTCTTTACAAAAAGAATATAAATATTAATACTATAAAGAGCTAACTTTTTGATATGTTTAATAAATCATCATTTTTACTCAACTTCTGTGTAGCTGAAATTTTGTATCAAGACAGAAGTTGGCATATCTATTCACCTATTGGAAAAATCTGATCACTAATTACTTCTCTCTTGACCTCCCAAAAATATGCCTGCCTCTCAAGGATGTTGAATAACAACTTTTTTGAAAATTCCTGATTTTTGGATGAACTGCTACAATCACTAGAAAGAGATTCCACACCAGGAAAAGGGTATGAAAGCAAAACATTTACAAGATTTGAGCAGGACAGGCATTCCAGCTTCCAGTTTATTAAGATTTAGAAATAACTGGTCCATCTCTTGCTTCCTTTCTGAAAATCATACAGATTCTGAACTTTCCAATAAAGCTGACCAGTTTAATATATAACCCTTTATGTTTGTCACACTGGTCTAGTGCGTCTTTGAGAGAAACTATATGATAGTAGTTCTCGTATTCTTCAGAGTGCTCCAATGTGAGCCTTTACACTATGGATGCACATCTCTTTCAGCTCAAAGAACCACATACAAATACATACGTGCAAATCCATAGCAATTTGGACATTTTCTTGCCAAGCAAATAGAACAGAACTCAAGTCTATGCAAGCCTACTCAGAAAGAAGCCCTGGTGCAACACTTTCCAGGCAAGCAAAGTGTATCCCATGGGCCACTATCCTATTGATCTTCCAATAGGAAGAAAAAACACTGCTAAACAGAAGTACACAATTTGTGCAAACACCACCATTGAGCAAGCAGTGGCATCCAGAAAATAAAATGTTCCTTCTATTTGTTAAATGGTAAGAACCTGCATTGCTACGCTGGCTGGAACTTCCCCTAAGCAAAAATTCTACTTTTTTTATAGGATTTGTTCGTATGCATCTCAGAATGCAAAAATCAGCTTACTTGTCTTATTGCTTTGATGGTATGCTAAGAGTATAGTAAAAAAAAAAAGTTCTACGTTAACAGCATCACTAGCTTGTGAGCATGAACATTTTAGCTAGGCAAGGTCTTCAGAACCTAAAAGCTTCAGGCCTGTGCGAAATGTTTTCCTTATTAGCAGAACTTACTCACGTGCTAAGTAAATTATTAGGTAAAAACAAGAGGAAATCATTGGTTTTCCCATCCTAACTAACATCAATAAAAACTTTATATAAAGCTTTTTTTTCTAGGTTCAATTTTTGTTTTTACTGTTTCATTTCAGCACAATTTGAAATTCAACAGTATTTCTTCATTCATACCACACCTTCTAAAATCTGTTTGCTGGATCCTGCAGCTGTTTCAATGGAGTGGTCATCTGTAAGGATAAAAGAGAAAAGCTGTTTTATCTTCCAAATGTTTATAAGCTTTCATTTAGCCCACAAGGTATTTTTAAGGGATCATACCACCTTCCACAACTCCTTATACAACAGCACACATGTTCAATCAAGTGGAAGTGAGAACACTTTAAAGAAAACATATTTCAGCACACTTTTAAACTGGTAACTGCATAACAAAAAAGAGGAGTGAGGGATATGAGAGAGAGGGAGAAGTATCAATGAAAACTGTAAAACACAATCCTTTGTATTTCATTTTGAGACAAGAAAGAAAACAAGAAAGATAGCTGGACTAAATTAACAACATTAATAGCCCAGTTGTCCAGCAACTCAGAACATAATGTCAAGATTTCTAAATAATGAACATTACCTAAGTACCAGCTATTACTAGTCTGAAAATTCTGGAGCAACTCAACATAGCCAGAACATGTAATGTTTATGGCTTTCAAAACAAATACAGCTATGATTTATTCCATATTATAGGTGTTCAAACCATTCTGTGGTTGTATTGTCAACATTTAAATTATCTGTCCCCAAAGATTTCAACATATTCCAAGCTAGCAGCTGTTCTCTTGGGAAGTGGAACTGTCTTTGTAGCCTGAAGACCAGTTGATCAGTTTTCCTTCCATAATACAGATGTTAGTAATGCTTGTCTACCAATAAGGCAACTGTTAACCCATTCTTCCTTCAAGGATTTCAAGGCAGCGACACGGTTATGCTGCTGTTCCCCACCTCCATCTTATCCTCACCACTACCGCATAAAGGCAATTAGATTAGGACACAGCAATTATCCAAGGTCACATTATACTGGACCTTATGGAGATTTCATTCTGCATCTTACCTCCCCAATTTAACACTCTTAACCACTACAGCACACTGCCTCATTTTTTTACTGCAGCCAAAGTACTTGCTATAATTAAACAAAAATGCCTTAGAGCTACAGAAAGAA